CCCAAATTCCGGGTCATCACCAAGATCAAAACCATTGGCAGCACCTATATGGCAGCTTCAGGAGTCACCCCAGATGTCAACACCAACGGCTTTACCAGCTCCAACAAGGTATCTAACCGCCTCAATGGCTAGAGGAGATGGGGCTCTGCCTCCTGAGGCAAGAGATAGGCAGGCCACACCTAGCATGTGGGAAGGGAGAAGTTACAAGAGTAGCTAACATTATTAAGTATTGCTCTGCAAAGGGGTCACAGGCACACTGCTAGCACCAAGCAGTACACATTTAAAATCAGGTTTACTGAGAAAGTTTAATGAGCAGACAGTAGCACACACGCAACCCCCGGCTACTATTCCACAGCTTAGGCCAGGCATAAGGAGCTTTGTGTAACTGTGGCCATGCCTCCTTAATGCTCTGTACGTTCGTAAGAACTGGGGAGCAGGAACCATCTCCGCAATTACGTAACAATGAAATGTCAAGGTTGGGAAAGTCGTTTTGTTAGAAAAAGGGAGTCATCAGAGCTCACTGGCTGACATCAGCCTGTTTTTTGTTAAGTTAATTCAGACCTTTGGAGCCAGCTCTGTAGCTACCAGATAGGAGAGGAAATGAGCTGTGGGGGCCCTGGTCCCAAGGGCTGTTCTTGAAATATCATTATCCGATTTTATCTTACAACTGTCCCATACGACATAAGTACTACTGCCATCTCCACTTTATGGATGAGTTTAAAGAAACATGTCTAAGACATGTCATCAACCTCAAGTCCTTACAGTCTAGTTGAGGGGTCAAAATGAGGACAACTTTCCTAGATTTAAAGACCAGGCTCAGAAAAGGGGGAGATGAGACATGACTCACGATCAGATACATGCCAGACAGGAAGCAGTGGGGCTGGGAAGGGTTTGTCTTCACCACCACCATTGCCCAGTCTTTGCCCTGAACCTAGAGGGACCCAGGTGAAGTTGGTCACAGTGACAAGTCAGAGCTGAAGAGGTTGCTGACTCCTTTGTGGGAAGAAGTGGAGAATAAGGCCTTTAACAACTAGATGGAGGGATTCACCGCCAGAACGTTGTTCAGGGAAGGAAAGTGAGCAGGCTTGCTGCGGTTATGGCCAGACTGGCTCCTGATGCTTTCAATGCTGCTCTCTGGCACAGGAGGAGAAGTCAGACAAAGAGCGCTGGCAGCACCTGGCTGATCTGGCTGACTTTGCACTAGCCATGAAGGATACACTTACAAACATCAACAACCAGTCCTTCAACAACTTCATGCTGCGCATAGGTAAGGGTTCAAGGCTTGCTGGCCCCTTGCTCCCTTCCGATGCAGGGGACTCAGCAAATCAGCAGGAAGGACTAGAGGCTTGGAGAGACCTGAACCATTTAGGTTGGGGAGGGTCACACACTCATAGAGCTGGAAGGGAACTTAAAGATCTTCAAGTCCAGTTTCTTCTAGATGATCAAACTGAAAATCTAGTCAGCTGTCCCTGTCCCATACTGTTTACAATAGCCTTCCTTCTGAATCTGGCTACAGTCAGTTTGTTGTCTACCTTTCCAAGGAATCTTCTATGCCTGCTGAGGGCTTTGCTGGCCCCAGTCCAGCCTGTTAAGAGTTAATGTCACCTGCTACCCTCTACTGGGAAGGGGTCTCACACCTTCCGGGTGAGGTCACAGGAGACTTGAAGTACCAGGTGTGTGTTAAGAGCGAAACTAGCAACTTCTGTACTAAGTTAATTAGCATATTGGGGGTAGCTGACATTTGCCAAGCACAGAGTGAGGACAGGATAAATAGCAGACATGATTTTTGCCCTTTGGTGGCTTAGAGAGACAAGCTTAATGAGGAATATGATATGTTATATAATTAGGAGCTTTGTGGTTGGAGTCAGGTGGCAAATTCTATGACAGAGGAGTTGGTGGCTTCTGAGAGATGGTAATAAGGTTTGGTGTGTGACTGTCCTGAATTTTATACCTCTACCCCAGGCATGAACAAAGGCGGGGTACTGGCTGGGGTCATTGGAGCCCGGAAACCACACTATGACATCTGGGGCAATACAGTCAACGTAGCCAGCAGGATGGAGTCCACAGGGGTCATGGGCAACATTCAGGTATGTCCAGCAACAGAGCCGAGCGTGTGCTCAGGTCCAGGGCACAGGACAAAATGGGAACATGGCATGTTTTGCCATGCACTACTGCCTCTTTTCTCTTGGCCCAGAATATTAAGTTGGCAGTGCTAGGAGATTAAGGGCAAGCGTGGGAAGAGATGCCTCCATAACGATCCTTAATAGAAGGGAGAAAATACTTCAAGCCCATTCCTTACCCAGTTCTAAGCTCTGGGTAAGAGTATCCTGCCTCTTGGTCTGAACTTTCTGACGTCTTGTGCCTCCACAGCTCCCCCTGAAGCCACCCTGATCTGTTGATCTGTTATCAGCTGGGTCTGGCAGGAAAGCTCCACAAAAGGGGCAGAGAAGCAGGGAGCAAAAGTTCCCAACAACAGTGCTGCCTCATAGGTGACCTGTGGCTGTCCTCCCAGGGAGAGAGAGCACTAAGACTATCTTTGGGAGAGGGGAGGGCCCAGGCAAGCCACCCTGTGCTCCAGTGCTCTCTGCCCCATGCCCACTGGTGCATGGAGTGCAGGGCCTGGCCTTGGCAGGTCTGGAAAAGAGCACTATGGGCCGTGTGGACTGGGACCTGTGGATAAACTGTGCCTCTGGTCTAGGCACACTCTCTAACCCAAACTCTTGTACTTTGTTCTCCCTCTACAGGTGGTGGAAGAAACACAAGTCATTCTTCGAGAGTACGGCTTCCGCTTTGTGAGGCGAGGGCCCATCTTTGTTAAAGGGAAGGGTGAGCTGCTCACCTTTTTCTTGAAGGGCCGTGACAAGCCAGCTGCCTTCCCTAACGGCTCCTCTGTTACACTGCCCCACCAGGTGGTAGACAACTCCTGAATGGCCTCTAGCCCCACACTAGTCCAAATGGGAAGGGAGAATTTATTTTTTGGAATCAAAGAAAGGCCTTGGAAAACAACAAAACACCAAGTTCCAACATTCCCAAATTGTCGAAGTGCACACTCACATAGACTTTAGGTTTAAAAATCTCCTCAAGCCTTCATTTGTTCGTGGATCTGTGAGCTCTGAGGGTGGCCATACTATTCCTCAGTGTGCCTGTAGCTTCCCCAGAGAGTAGGGGTCTTAGGCATAGTACTGGAACAATCCTTCCAAAGCCCTAGTTCCAGCCAGCCCTTCTTCCCCAGAGAGGCCATGGCCACTGTGAGCAGGAATGTATCAGAAGTGGAACAAAGCTGCCTTTGCCGCTGGGCTGGGAGCACAGGAGGGGAAGCTCTGCTTAACATGAGGGCTTGGCAGGGTGGGACAACTTCCAGCTGTAACTTGGAAGCAGTGCTTTTCGTTCTGGAGACTTGGTTGTTAGACCATGGTCTCAGTTAGGCAAAAGGGCCCTCGTCCTAATGCTCCTGACAATCTTGAAAGGTTCTTCCGGAACCCCTGTCACCTTAGTCATGAGAGCAGAAAGTGCAATATTTCCTTTTACCTGGTGGGAGGGAGGGAAAGGGAATTTATTTCTGAAAGAAAAATATATAAACAGATCTTCTACATTTATATTTCTAACTTTCTGTTAAAAACCACTTTCCGATATTGCCTTGCCTTTTGAGCTCTTGCTACAGTCGCCTTTGCTACTGCTTTAAAAGAGAATATACAGGTATTGATAAAGAACAAGACTGTTTTATTAAAAGCTTTATTCAATTTAAATATGATCGTTGTGAAAATTCTGTTAATACCTCTCATCTGAGACAGGCTCAGTGCTTTGCTCACTCACACCACTGGGCCTTACCACGTGTCTGGAAGGCAAGAGCTCGAACCAAGACATCTCTTTATTCTTTTTTTTAATTTAATTAATTAATTTTTTTTCCCCCAAAGCCCCAGCAGATAGTTGTATGTCATAGCTGCACATCCTTCTAGTTGCTGTATGTGGGACGCAGCCTCAGCATGGCCGGAGAAGCAGTGCGTCAGTGCGCGCCCGGGATCCGAACCAGGGCCGCCAGCAGTGGAGCGCACGCACTCAACCGCTAAGCCACGGGGCCGGCCCCATCTCTTTATTCTTAAAGGCTTTCTTCTAAATGGTGGTCTAAGCTGGCTTTACCACTCCCCTGTGGTCCTCCCAGGGTCAGCGGGAGCTCCCACACTTCTAATTACTTCCTGGTCCTCAGGTGTAGCAAGTGACCACTTTACAATGAGGCCTGAATGCAGCGCTGGGCCTTGGGCAGTAAAGGTAGTAATGACTCCTATTTGTGACTGGGCAAAGGAGGGACAGGAATTGAAATGGCAGAACCTGACCAGCCAGACACAGGTTTTCACATCTGTGCACTGGCCCTACACATACTCCCATAAGCCAAGGAACAAAAAGTGCCAGCAGATGCAAAGCCATGGTTATAAGGACAAACAGTACACTAATCGGACCAGGAGATGGGGAAGACAACTGCACAGCCAGGACCTAGAGCTTGCAGGAGAGGGAAGAGATGCAGAGGGAAGGTCTGCTTCTCTTTGCAACAACTGAGTTATGAGCAGATTTCCAAAGGTGACTTAATACATTCAGCTCTCTACTAAGAAGTTTTGGGAAACAGAACCCTGATTATGATGTGAGAAAGTATTATGGATAAAATATTCTTTATAAAGCAGTGGCCTAAAATACACGGCCCCAAACCAAAGATTAAACACACTTCCCTTCTTAACTATATGATTCATCTCATACTATGAACTTAAGAGCATTCTAAGAACTTTCTTTTTTTTTTTTTTTAAAGATTTTATTTATTCATTTTTTCCCCCCAAAGCCCCAGTAGATAGTTGTATGTCGTAGGTTCACATCCTTCTAGTTGCTGTACGCGGGACTCGGCCTTGGGTTGGACGGAGATGTGGTGCCTCGGGGCGCGCCCGGGATCCGAACCCGGGCTGCCAGCATCAGAGCGCGCGCACTTAACCGCTAAGCCACGGAGCCGGCCCAGAACTTTCTTTGTGAAAGTCTCAGATAGGAAAATGAGGCAGAATTACTTAAAGCTTCCATAAAAGCTAGAATTACTCATTAGTTGAATGGTACATACCCCCTCTCTCACAAAATACCCTTCTATTGCCCCACAAACTATTCTGATTTTCAGCTAAAACATATGATTAAGTCAGTATCTAAAAAGAACAGATGATCTGGAACGTTATAACAAGTGACCAGGCAATCATGGAAAATTGTCCAAAAATGCCAATGTCTATGGACTCAAACTTGCCCCTTCTCATCCTGACGAGGTGGCTGTTTGTTCTCACTGCAAGGATAGTCCCCAAACAAGGAGCCTGAGCCTTTGAACAGTTTTCAGCTCCCGGGACCTTGCCTAGGACTATGTACAGTACCAGTTTACTCACTTCTGACATGTTCCCAATGAAAATAATATTCTAGGAGACCAGGCTCATATCCAGCGTTTCTCCTTTTCTGGCAAACGAAGTAAATACTTGATGTAGGGGCTTCGTACGAAACAGATTTGCATGGGATGCTCGCTGTTCTTCCCATGAGGTGGATAACGCTTCCATCCCTGAAAAAGTAAGATTCTATCAATCTCATTTAGGGCAACTGGGGGAATCAGAACCTGGATCACTGATAGTCCAGACCCATGTAATTTTTTTTTATTTTCTGGTCTGGAGCTGAGAGAGGCTGCCCCTTATTGGACCAATGTAATTTTGAGACCACAAACTTAGAACAAACTCTGCCCAGAGAAATCTAAAACTTATGGTTTGAAACCTGTGGCAGCTTCAAAATTGCTGCCTCCTAAAAACATTTTATCCTATTTTTCATTATGGCCCATGTCACATTACTATGGTACATTTAACAGAAACAAGGTCACAAAAAATGTCTCTCTCAGCCAGCCCTGAAAAATTCCCATTTAGAGAATCATCTCTGGAAAGCTAAGTGTATCCTGACTTGTCTTCGTAGTGAAATAAGTCTTTGGATCTCTCACCACAAGTGACCCAATGACTCAGCCTCATTAGCTGTCTCTTCAAGAGGGGTTTCCAATGAAAACAAATCATAAGCTGAAAGAACACTGCGAGGGTTTGATGGAGCAGAGGAGGGAAAACTAGGGTAATTATTTTTACTACTTACAAAGAAGGGAGGAAAAATTGGTAGAAACAAGGAAAACATTCTTTGTCTTCTCCCGTCTGAGTAAATTTATAGTACGTAAACAGCAGCAGGCGTCTCAAGAGGCCCAACTGATGCATTCCACCTATTTCACCCTGCTCCATTCAACCTGAGTAAGCCAGGGCACATTATGACTGCTTCAATGAGGCATCCTGCCTCTTACCTTGATAAGTAACGGTGACGTCAGTTGGAAGGGTTAATGTGAGGTCCTTATACAGCAGTCTAGCACAAAACGGGAAGGACTGACCTCCTGGCTCCACTTTGTAAGTAAACGACAGCAAGTTGCACAGTGCGTTTCTCTGCAAGGGCCCAGCCAGAAAGGCTGCAAAGTCACTCTAACGGGGGGTGGGGATCAAGACAGACACAAAGTATATGATGATTGACAGCTCCAAAGGCACTGAGTAGTTGTCACACTTCAAACATGTCTACCAAAAATAGGGTCCAGTAATTAAATTTCAGAGAAATAAATGAAGGACAGAGAGAGGCCTAAAAAAAGGACTAATGACAGAGATTTATTTATTTATTTGTTTTTTTAAATATTTTTAAATTTATTTTATTTTTTACCCCCAAAGCCCCAGTAGATAGTTGTATGTCATAGTTGCACATCCTTCTAGTTGCTGTATGTGAGATGCGGCCTCAGCATGGCCCGAGAAGCAGTGTGTCAGTCGCACCCGGGATCCGAACCTGGGCCGCCAGCAGTGGAGCGTGTGCACTTAACCACTAAGCCACGGGGCCGGCCCCTAATGACAGAGATTTATAAGATAACTAAGAGTTGGTGGCAGCCTGGAAAGGCCTGCAGGAAGCAATTGGACAGGGGCTGGGAGTGCAGGGGAGACACTATTTCTGTCAAGAATTTTGTTGATGTCACATATATACCTAAGATGCTTCATGTCTGCTCACATATCAATTTAAGTATCTAACTGACAACCAGGAGCTTCCGTCATTCTAAATGCATAGGGGGGAAATGCTAAGCTTACAAGAGTCATTTATTCCTTATTTGCATTCATTTCCTGTCTACTTTTTTTTTTTTTTACCCCAACCCTAGCTCAAATGCAACCCTAAGAAGATAGGCCAGAGTTTAGGCAAAGTATTCCTCCAAAGTATACCTCCAAAAATGGAGAGTATTCCTCTATGATATTTCAGAAACCATCTTTCTGCTTTGCCTCTATACCTAAGGCTCCACAAGGCACTTGGTACATAGTAGGTACTCTATAAATCCCCGGAGAATTAAAAGTAGAGCAACTGTACTCTACTACTTTGTGAGAAGAAGAAAGGGTCAAGTATAAAAGCTTGAGGACCACCATTCAGGAGTGAATAATCCCTTAACTAGTATCCATGCTTCAACATCACCCAGAGTTTCAACAGGGGAAGAAAGGAGGGTGGAAAATAGCTGGTATATAAATAAGAAACAAGCATTAGAAGGATAATGGTCAAACTTCTGGCTCAGAGTTATGAAACATTTTAAAACACAAAAGAAAACATGTCCTTTTTTTTTCCTTTTCAGCCTATCCTAGGCTCACAAAATGCTATATAAGATCCTAGACAGATACCTGAAGTCGATCTGCCTGGTACTTCCTCCCAGAGTAAGCATTTAGGTATTCGCAGAGACTGAACAGGAAGTGCTGAATATTAGTCTGTAAGTATTTTGCAGATATCTCCTCTAGGGGAATGAAGATGGGAATTGAATGGTGATGTATCCGAAGTGGTTTCTGTATGACAAGGTCCACAAAATAGGAATCCAGCAGGTTGCCCTCAAAAGCAGTGTTGATGCAGACACAGACTCCTCGGCTGGTCAATTTCCCACTGAGCCCTGAGGCAAACAAGACAATATCTCTCAGCAGATGTCAGGGAAAGGTAGTATCTTTTTTTTTTGCTGAGGAAGATTAGCCATAAGCTACCATCTGCTGCCAATCTTCCTCGGTTTTTTTTTGTTTGAGGAAGATTAGCCCTGAGCTAACATCTGTGCCAATATTCCTCTTCTTTATATGTGGGTTGCTGCCACAGCATAGCTGACGAGTGGTGCAGGTCACCTGGGATCCAAACCCACGAACCTAGGCCGCCAAAGCGGAACGCACTGAACCCAACCACTACGCCACAGGGTTGGCCCTGAAAGTTAGTATCTTATTCATCTGTGCATCCCAGTCACTTCAGCACTGCCTAGTACATACAGTATGTGCTCAAATATTTTCTAAATGAATAAACATCATACTCTTTCTTCTCATTGACTCAGGTTGAGTTTGAGTTGTTAAAACCATAGAAGAATGGTAGAAAAAAAAAAATCCTAAATACCAAATTAGTGAGTAAGAGATTTTGAAATTTTCAATTTACCTATTCTTTTTTTGTGTCAAATAATTTATGAAGCCCAGTTCTTCCCACAATCCTCTTGTGACACAGATAATGGGGAGAATAAATCCCCATTTTAATGGTAAAACAGAGACTTGAGGGGTTCAAACTATTTGACCAGTGGCAAAAAGTAAGCCAGCAGTAAAGGAAGCTCTACTACAGGGTCTGGCACAGCTGTTTAGCTGTTTTGAATAGCTAAAACAAATAGTCTAAACCAGCCACCAACCAGCCTCCTGCACAAAGAGGCCAATCTCATAGGTAAGGATGCCTACAAACAGCACCCCAGCTTTGTGTGTATATGTTGACAGGAGCAAAAGCAATGCATGTGAAGTAAGTCCAGGACTAATAATACATCTAGCAAACTCACTCACTAGAGACAAGAGACCAAGATTGAAACAGGTCAGAAAAAATTATACCTGTAAAACGATATGCCTGCAGAATAGCTTTTAAGTTTTCCCGTTTTCTTTCCAAAACTTCTTGCTCACTCATGTCCAATGTTTGGTCGGGTTCAACATTGGCTGTAGATGCTTTAACCTGCAAGATATGCGGCAAATCAAACTGGGTACAAAGGGACATAACACAAAGTCCCTGCCCTCACCTAACTGGACAAAAGCTAAATGCAAAGTATTTATTATGTAATGAATCAAGAAATGCTACAGTGGCCCGTTAGTGCTATGAATTCACAGTAGAGGAAGGATCTTGTGGGTCACAGTGCTAGGAATCAGAAGTAGAAACTGTGCTGGCCTGAAGAACAATTAGGAATTTGGTGGGAATGGCGAGTATTGTGAGAGGAGAAAGAGAAGGGTGCGAGGAAAGCCTATGATGAGCACAGGGTGAGTGAAACAGCTGTGAAGAGGCAAGGCTAGGAAGGCCGGTGTGGGTCAGACTGCAGGCGTTCAACTGCCAGGATGAGAAATACTGACTCTAGATGTACACTTCCAGCCATGGCCCAGTAGATGGTATCAGACTAACCCTCCCTCTGAGAACAGCTACACAAGCTGGATGAAATACCCAAATTAAATCAGCGAATATGCAACCAAACAGAAAATGGTCTGAAGGCATTAGAGAACAACCAAAACAGCCAGACTGAAGATTAACGATAAATGCCCTGAGGTTAGCTGGGCTTTTCCTGTTGCTTTTCCCCTCAGAGCATTTGCTGGTTTCTATCACAAGGCAGATAGGCCAAATAGAAAGCTGCAGGCTAAACTTTGTAGCAGTCTCACCGTGCTGAGAGAAAAAACTGCAGACCAAGGTTACTAAAGCAGCCTTTCTACATGCCAAGACCCCACAGAAAAGGGAACCCAACATGCTGCATGCAGTTTGCCCTCCAGGCATTTGCCAATCCTGAAGTGCACATGTGTGACTGGGTATTAAGGAACCAAACAGAAAGAAGCTGCTAAAAGTTAAAAAGCTAAGCAGAGATTTTGGCAGAACAAAATTTGGAGTTCAGAGCCTTCCAAGGAAGAGGGGCCTTGATAGCCCTGTCCCCAACACATATCCAAACTTTTGATCGAGGGCCCTAAGAAAAGGGCAACACCCTACGACAAACCAAAAGAAGACCACTTCAACTGGATTAAGGTGATATGCCCATATGCTATCTGCCTGTCAGAAAAAAACTGATATTCTCTCTGGAGGAAGAGAACATGGTTCAGGATCCCTATATTTTTTCATATACAATACCTATCATTGAATCAAAAAATTTTATCAGGTATATCAGGAAAGAGGAACAGACGACTGAAAACCAAAAGGAAAAAGAAGACAACAGAAACGGATCCAAGAGGATTCAGCTATTTGAGTTATCAGGTATAGCCATTAACATAGATTAAAAGATGGAGAACTCATACCAAAAAGCTGGTATCTATAAAAACGTATCAGATGGAAATCCCAGAACCAAAAAATACACTAACTAACATTAGGAATTTAACAGGTTTAAAAGCCAACTAGAGGGCCAGCCTGGTGGCACAGTGGTTAAGTCTGTGCACTCTGCTTCCACGGCCCCGGGGGGTGGGCTCGGATCCTGGGCGTGGAGCTATACCACTCACCAAGCCATGCTTTGGCAGCATCCCACATACAAAAAATAGAGCAAGATTGGCACAGATGTTAGCTCAGGGACAAACTTCCTCATCAAAAAACAAAGGAAAAAAGAAAAAGCCAACTAAACACATTAGAAAAGATGATAAGTGTGGTGAAAATAGGTATATTTTCATATCCAGATTAAAGCCTAGAGAGAAAAAATAAGATTAGAAAATTAGTAAAGATGTAAGACATAGGTCACAATAAAAAAAAAAACCTCCATACGTGGGAGCCCCAGAAATAGAGGAAAGAATGAGGCAGATGCATTATTTGAAGAGATACTGGCCAAATTTCCCACAATAAACAAAAAATATCAAGTAATTAATTTAAGAAACTCTACAAACACCAAGCAGGATAAAGAAAGAAACCACTCCTAGCCCCATTATGAACAAAACTGCTAAAACCCAAAGACAGACAGAATCTTAAAAAGAGGGAAAAAAGACACATTATATTCAAGCAATAAGACTAACACCTGATAGAAACTATGAACTAGAAGACAATGGAACGATATATTTAAAGTATGAAAAAAAAATAACTTCCAAACTATAACTTTATACCTAGCAAAAATATGCTTAAAAAATGAAAAACATAGAGAAATAATGTGTTTTCAGACCAACAAAAATAGAGAATTTATTGCCAGCAGACTTACAATGAAAGAAGTACCTAAAAGAGCTACTTATGCTGAAGGAAAATTAATCCCAGATGGAAATATGGAAATGCAGGAAGTAATAAAGAGCACTGAAAAGGATAAATATGTGTATAACTCTAAAGGAATAGTGACTGTACAAACAAAAATGTTTCATAAGTTTAAGCATATGTAGAATTAAATATATGATGACAATAACATGAAAGGTGCATGTGTGGGAGAGAAAAGTTAAGATGTTAGGAGGTTCTGTATTATCCAGAAAGTTGTAAAAGTACTAATCTGAAGTATACTCTAAAAAGGAAAAAAACTCATGTTTTCTCTAGGATAACCACTAAAAGAATGCTGAAAGAATATATAATTAACAAGCTAATGGAGAAGTGGAATAAAAAATAAAAAGATCAATCCAAAAGGTGGCAAGACAGGAGAAAAGAGAAACAAAGAACAAATAAGACAATAAAATAAAAAGTAATATGGTAGACTGAAATCCAAATATATCAGTAATCACATTAAAAGTTTATGGACTAAATACTCCAACTAAAAGACAAAGACTGTCAGGCTGGATTAAAAATTATATGCTACTTACAAGGAGAATACCTTAAATATAAGGTCACCAAAAGACTGAAAGCAGAAAGATAGAAAAAAATTGACCATGCAAACCCTAAACAAAAAGGGTTGTTGTAATTATACCAATATTTGACAAAGTTGATTTTAAGGCAAGAAGTTTAAAATAAAAAACATCTCATAATGACAAAAGGTTAACTCAACCAGGAAGATATATTAATCCTGAATTTGTTTGCACCTAATATACAGCAAAAACAGAATGAAAGGGAAACAATGTACAAATCCACCATCACAGTGGGAGATTTCAACACATGTATCCCAGTAATTGATAAAACAAATAGACAAATCACTAAGGATATAAAACACTTGAACACCATGATGAACACATTTGGTTTGACATATATAAAACACAGTATCCAACAAATGTAAAATCTACATGTAATACATGCAGAACATTTATCAAAACTGACCACATGCTGGGTCATGTTCTCTGGTCACAGTGGAATTAAGCTATAACTCAGTAACTAAAAAAATAACTAACAAATCCCCAAGTTTTTGGAAATTAAGCAATATACTTCTAAAACAAACCTATGGGCCAAAGATATCACAATGGAAATTAAAAATATTTTGAATTGAAATGATAACGAAAATATAACATACCAAAACATGCGCGATATAGCTAAAGCCATGTGCTATGGACTGAATGTTTCTGTCTCTCAAAATTCATATGGTGAAACCTAATGCCAATGTGATGGTATCTGGAAGTGGGGTCTTTGGGAGGTGATTAGGTCATGATGGTGCAGCCCTCGTGAATGGGAATAGTGCCCTTATAAAAGAGACCCCAGACAGCCAGCTTGCCCCTTCTGCCATGTGAGATTACAGTGAGAAGACGACCATCAACGAGAAAGTGCGTCCTCATGAGACACTGACTCTGTTGATGCCAGGATCTTGGACTTCCCAGCCTCTAAAACTATGAGAAATAAATATTTGCTGTTTATAGGCCATCCAGTTTATGGTATTTCTGCTACAGCAGCCCATATGGACTAAGACACTATGCTTAGAGGGAAATTTATAACCTTAAATACATACAGGAGAAAAGAAAGACTAAAAAAAAATCAGTAAGTATTCATCTCAAGAAGCCAAAAGAACAGCAATTTAAATCCAGAGAGTAGAAGGAAATAAAGATGAGAAGAAATCAATGAAAATATAACACAAATGTACAACAGAGAAAATCAACAAAACCAAAAGCTAGTTCTTTGAAAAGGCTAATAATACAAAACTGATAAAACTTAACAAGACTGATCAAGGAGAGAGAAAAAGAGTGTGAGAGTGAGCACAAATTACCAAAATCAGAGTAAAAATGAGACAACACTACTACAAAATGAGATCAATCCTATGCACAAAATACTAAATTGTTTGATAAAGTTTCAAACAACCTTAAATGTGAGTTTAGATGAAACAGACAAATTCCCTGAAAAATGCAACTTACCAAAAGTGACACAAGAAGAAATGGGACCTATGAACAGCTTTATACTGATCAAAGAAATTAGACAAGAAACTTAACACCTTCCCACAGAGAAGGCCCAAAGGGCTTTACCAGGGAATTCTTTACAAAAATTTAAGGGAAACTAACACCAATTTTACATAAACTCTTCCAGAGAACAGAAAAAGAAGACAAGCATCTCAACCCCCTTTCTGAGACCAGGATAAACTTGATGCCAAAACCTGATGAGGTCATTATAAGAAAAAAAAAAAATCACAGGGAAATCTCTCTCGTGAATTTAGATTCAAAAGTCATATTAGCAAATATCAGCAAACTGAATTCAGCACTATATAGAACGGATAAAAGCCATATGATCACCTTAATATAAATGCAGTAAAAACATTTGATAAAATTCAATACCTGATCACAATTAAAACTCTTGGAAAACTAGAAATAGAAGAGCATTTCTTAAATCTGATATGAGTATCTATACTAAATTTACAGCAAACAGGTTGACTCTATGACTATTTCTATTTAACAACGTACTGGAGATCTTAGCCAGTGGAGTCAGGCAGGATAAACAGAAGTTACAAGGATTGGAAAGGAAAAAGTAAAACTGTTATTGTTTGTATATGACATAATTTCAAATGTAGAAATTCTGAAAGAGAGATAAACTATTAGAATATGTGTATTAGCAAAGCTGCCATATACAAGGTCAACATGAAAAATCAAATGTATTTCTATATAATAGTAACAATTAGAAAATACAATTTCTGAAAAATACCATATGTCAGGGATTCTCAAACTATGGCTTGTGGGTCAAATCCAGCCCCATAGTTATTTTTGTAGATACAGTTTTACTGGGACACACCACACCCATTCGTTTATGTACTGTCCGTGACTGCTTCATGCTACAGCAGAGCTGAGTGGCTGCCACAAGGACTGTATGGATGGCAAAGCCTACAACACTGACTACAGATAAAGTTCACTGACCCCTGCCATATACAATAACATCAGGAAAAATCAAACACTTAAAAATAAATAGAATGAATGATGTTTAAGACCTGCACACATAAAACTACATACATTACTGAGATAAATTAAAGAACTAAATAAATGGAAAGATATACCACGCACATTGACTGGAAGACACAACACTGTAAAGATTTCAGTTCTCTCCAAATACATTCAATGCAATCCCAATCAAAAGTATAAGAGGTTTGTTTTTGGAAAATGACAGCGGATTCCCAAATTTATGTGAAATTCAAGGGGCTAAGAATAGCCAAGATAATTCTGAAGAAGATGACATATATTACAGGTATCAAGACTTACAGTAATAAACCTCTGGTACTAGCACAAAGACAAACAGACCAATGGAACAGAATGGAATCCAGAAACAGACCTACAGTGGACCCAAAGATGCACTACAATACAACGGGAAAAGAGTGGTCTTTAAGAAGTGGTCCTGGATGAACTGGATATCCATATGGGAAAAAAAAAAAGTATGACCTCGGGGCTGGCCCAGTGGCACAAGCGGTTGGGTGCGCACACTCCGCTTCAGCGGCCTGGGGTTCACGGGTTCGGATCCTGGAGGCGCACCAATGCACTGCTTGTCACGCCATGCTGTGGCAGCATCCCATATAAAGTAGAGGAAAATGGGTATGGAGTTAGCTCAGGGCCAACCTTCCTCAGCAAAAAAGAAGAGGATCGGCATCAGATGTTAGCTCAGGGCTGATCTTCCTCACAAAAAATAAATAAATAAATAAACCTTAAAAAAAAAAAAAAAAAAGAAGTATGACCTCTATTTCACTGACAAAATCACTTGGACGGTAATTCTGAAAGTAAAACAATAAAGCTTTTAGAAAATAACACAAAATATCTTCATGATCTTAAGTTAGGCAAAGGTTTATCAAAAGGAAACGAGTGGTAATTTATATATTTTACATTTACTTTACATTTATATAAAGTTCAAAAACAGGTAAAACCAATGTATGGTGACAGAAATCAGAATAGTGGTTACCTTGAGGGAAATGACCAGGAGGATACAAGAGGGAGAGTTCTGGGGCACTGGCAATATTCTATACCTTGATCTGTGTGATAATTACCAGATGTGTTCACTCTGTAAAAGGTTCTTCAGATTTGTGCACTTTATATATTTAAATATATTTTTTATTTTAATAAAAAAGCAAAAGAAGAGAGGGAGGGAGTAAGAGAGGGGAGGAAGAAAAGGAGGAAAAGGAAGAGGGAGGGAAGGCAAGAAAAGGAAGGAAGGCTGACTTCACCCATGGGCAATGAATGGTTATTGATGGTTTCTGAGCAATGAAATGACGCAGTGTTTTAGGAAGCATTTTCTTGGCTGTGCAGGATTTATTGGAGAAGTAGAAATACTAAAAGAGAACCAACTAGAAGACTACTGCAATAATCCTGGCATCCAAATCACCTGATAAATATTTACAACATACATGGATAATACTTGAGCTATGGCAATGGAGTCAGGGGAAGAAGCACGGAGACAATCTAAAGGAAAACTGACAGCTCTTGCTGGCTGGACATGGGCTAGAGAGAAAACTGAAAAGAGGGAAGGGTCAAAGTTTACCATGAGGTTTCACGTCTGGGTAATAGAAAGATGGCACTAATGACAAAAATACCAATGACTCAAGTGAGGCTGAGACTGAGGTAACAGCTTCATGTCTGTGAGGGCAGGTTCAGAGACTGCCATGAAGAACCTGCCTGGCCCATCACTAATGCCTGACAATCGTTAGTTGATATTGATTTTAGCTGAGACTCTACAGGTTTGATCATTTGAGGGATCAAGGACTGAAACCAATCCAGCAAGATCACATGTAAAACATATTATACAAATTTGCCAATTCCCAAATCATGTTTGTTCTTTACACTCTAGGAAAGCCTGCCAACATCACCCTTCTACTCACTCCGGCTTGACGTTGTTTCACCTCAGCCCTCAGCTTATCTCGCAGACGTCTCAGTTTCTGAATCTTGGTTCCAAGGGCGCTGCCCACTGCCTGCGCTCCCTGTGGCTCTTCCAATTTTTTACGGGATCTGTTCATATGAATCTCTAGTCTTTCTAAGTGAGCTAAAACACCTGAGGAAAGTAAAAAAGGAATTTCACAAGAAGCCAAGGATTTCTAACTCTGGCAACAGGAAGCACTTCAGGGAAGAACAGAGGGTGACCCTTTTTTCAGAACTTTGTGGCCAGCTCAACTGTTAGACATTCGCCACAATTTATAAAACCAGAGGAGCTGACAACAGAAATCAACGATCAGCAACCTCTTAGGCTGAACACTGATGTACAAGCAGTCCCTAACCAAGAACACTGTCCAAAGACAGCATTATCTGAATATAGCTAATCTCACTTATCCATCATAATAACGACCCAGAGGAAAACAGGGTCACCAAATTCATTGACTCTCTCAGACATTGTTTTTAAAAATGTAGAAGTGTTTTTTTAAATTAGGTTTTATGCATGTTCTTCCAAAGTGCTAATGCATAACTCTTTGGATTTAGACATCCAAAGAGGCTTGAATAAGAATTTTGTAGCTCTGAAAAGTATCAGAAGCTCAGGACTCTAAAGACACACACACTAAAGGGAATGATCCACAAACATTACTAGGTATTAAAGAAGAAGAAAAGCTCACTGCGGACAGAAATTCGGAGGCAAGAGACTGACTAAGGACCAATATAGTAAAGGTCACAGTTTCATAACGCTAATCAACTCTAAGAACAAAGCATTTGCTGAACACTTCCTACATATTAAGACACCTGCGCTAGATGCTTTACTTGCAAAGCATGTAAAGAATTAAAAAGTATTTGTTGAATATTTCCTATACATTAGGCATGTGCTAAATGTTTTACTTGAAAAGCATTAAAGGAATTACTTATGTAATTTCCACTACCACCACCACAATGCTAACATTCACCTCCATCTTCCAGATGAAGAAGGCGAGGCAGAGAAAGGTAAAATAACTTTGCCCAAGGCCACAGCGTTTATAATGGCAGAGCCAGGACTCAAATCCAGGTCTAACCAACACCAAAGTCACTGCCCCTTCCACAGGAGTAATGCATAAATGGTTCCAAAGCCCTGGGAAGAGAGGCAAGAGACCTCACTGGCTAGAACTGTAGCTCTGAATATAAACACTGAGCATACTATGAATGCAACCTAAACCTATCGGTTTAGAAAAGGCAAGAGCCTAGAAATATCTGAAGTAATTTTTCCTTCTCCAGTGATCTTAGTGGCCTGTCCCTCTAAGTCTTCAATGTTAGTTTCTTTTACCATTCTGCTCCCAAACAGGACAGCTCACACATCAGTTAAGGAGGAAAGGGCTCTTTCAACGTGGGGGTCATCTTTGGGCAACAGTAGTAAGGGGGGAAAGGCGACCCTTTGTATACCTCCTTTGGACTCGCCGTGTGTACTTAAAGTATTCGCCAGCTCCATCTCCTCCGACTTGCAAGAGCCTTCCTGTGACGTCGTCCAGGCACCGGTAACTGGCACCTAGATTTCTTTGCTGGCAAAAGAGAAATGACAAGAAAGTCACATCTATTCACATTCAGTCAAATCCTGATGGCAGGGCACTCACAACGCAGACATGCACCCGCCGGCCCCCGGACACCCCAAGCGTCCTTGCTAGGACTCCCCTTCCCGGACCCGCCCGCCCGTTCCCCGGGTCGGCGTCGGCGGTGTCCCCGTCTACCTCCCCACCCCTGCGCGCTCCCGAGGGCACGCCCCTCTGGTTCCGCCGGGTTTCCTCGCACACCGAAGGAGCTGTAAGAGGCCGTTCAGTTCCAGCCTGGTCACGGCCCCGTCCGTCACCGGGTCTTACCTTCCCCGTACCTCTCTTCCTTTTGCTCACCCAGGCCAGGGACGAGAGTTCCCGCCCTCGCCTTCAAAATCAGCCAATTGGTCCCAGCGTGCTTTGCGCTCCCACCGTACAAAAACATGGCGGCGCTCAGGGCTCCTCCCTGGTCCCGGCATGCACCGGGGAGTAGGCCCGGTCTTTCTCTTGGGCAGGAAGATGGCGGCCTCTAGCGCAGAGCCGCAGATCTTGGTACAATACTTGGTGTTACGAAAGGATCTATCGCAGGCTCCGTTTTCCTGGCCAGCGGGCGCACTGGTGGCACAGGCTTGTCACGCAGCCACCGCGGCCTTGCACATTCACCGTGACCACCCGCACACGGCTGCCTACCTCCGGGAGCTGGGGCGCATGCGCAAGGTGGTCCTCGAGGTGAGGCCCCCCCCCCCCGGCAGAGGGGGAGGGGCGCTGAGGGCGTCGAGACCGGAAATGGGTGGGGTCTTGAGTCTGCGGGCCTAACTTCGTGGTGTGGGTGCGGCGTTGGTGGAGAGAAGTCCTGAACGTCTGGCTTTGAGAGGGTTCTGGGGCTTGAGCTGTTGCCCAGGGAGCTTTCCCTTGGCTGGGTGGGACCTGACTGTGAAGAGTGGACATCGGGTCCTTTATTAACGCTTCCCGCATCCCTCCTGTCTCACCTGCGTCCTCAGTAGACGCCTGTGAGGACGGAGGCTGGTGGAGCGAGACCCGCCTTTCAACTGTGCACTGGGCCGGCCGTTTAATGCGGCGCGGAAAAGTACTGTCCCCCTCCCTTCCGCAAAACCGATCCGGAAGGGATAAGGACACGATTGAAGGCAAACTGAAGCATTTACCTGGGTAGACGCCAAATTATTTGAAAATAGATGCGAACACTAGTACGTATAAGTTGAACCTAGCATAAGAAATATCAGAGCCCAGGGGTGTGAAATAGCGATGAGGTTCTTTGCAGATGGCCACACAGATCTTACCCTTACCCTTTGTCAATTCTGCTGCTAGAAGTGTATACTAAAAGAGTAATCAGATGCACCCAAAGAGCATTGTACAAGGATATTCATAGGAGCACTTTAGAATAGTAAAAAGTGGAAATTACTAAATTTCCAATACTAGGGATTGGTTAAATTAATTTATCCCCTTATAATGGGTTATAATGAAGCTAGCATAAATCTTGTTTTGGAGCATATTTGGTTGGCATGGAAAAGTGCTCATGTGATGCTAATTAAACTGTATGTACAAAGTGATCCAGATTTTGAAAGGAAAAACTAAGGAAATGCATCCAAATATTAAGTAGTGGGTGGTGGGATTTTGGTTATTTCCTAATGCTTCTCTCTTTAGTTTTCTACATTAAACACATATTTTAAAATAAAAGCAATTTTTTTCCTCATTATAAAATTTATGTATTTTAATAAATAAACCAGAACCTTGAGGTGGAATGGTGGGGTAATCCCTTCATGGCTAGCTGGCAAAAACAGATTATGTTTCGAGAGAAAAACTGCTGTTGGGTAGTGAAACATTGAACAGTAACCTCTAGGAAGATACCTTGAGAATCTGTAAGCAGGCAGAAAAGCAGCCGCTTTTTGTTGAGATTCTTTTTGTAGGACAAAAGCCTCAAGAAATCATGTGGTTTAGACAGCCCCCACTCCTTCGCTGTCAGGCAGATAATATATTTATCCCTTTTCTCAGAGGAGACATCTGCAGCCCACAGAAATTACGTGACTCCTCTGAGTTTAAAAGACATCTGATGATTCCTGGTTGTTAGCCATGACTCAAGAAAGGGACTTAGGAGTCACCGCTGATTAAATTAAGGTGCTGTTGTAGCCATAAAGACCAATAAAATATTAGACAATCCCAAGATTAACTACATTTATTGGGTGCCTTCTGTGTGCCAGGCACAGGTCTGAGCCCAATTTCAGTGAATCCTCACTACTTCTGGGAAGCATGATCATCCCTGTTTTACAAAGAGGAAACAAAGGCCCAGCTAAGTCATGTAACTTATCAAAGATCGTGCAATCAGTAAGTGGTAGGACAAGGGTTTGGACTCACTCTAACTAGTACTGTGCTGCTGCCTGGTGCTGCAGAAGGAGGGAAGGGAAGTCAATGAGTTCTCCTTCAGCATGGCTCTGCCTGAAGGACTCAATAGATTAAGAATGGAAATCCCATTATCCTCTAATTTGGTAAGACAAACCTCTAGTTATCTTAGTGGCTTCTGCCTTCATAGGCAAAAATATACCTTATGCAACATAACATAACTAATTATCTTTATCTTCTGAGTGATAGCTTTAATACTTCCTATAACAGGATTCAGCATGGGTGATAAGAATGATGAGAAACAATTTCAGAAGGATGTTAGAGAATAGTTTGCCCTCCTTTGAGTTAACAAGTGGGAACTATCCCAGCAGAAGGAAAATCCATCTAGGTTTGTGCAGAGTAGGGTGGGAGGGGAGGAGGGAGGTGGAGGTGATGTGATTTTAGAAATCCTTCCAGGAGTCATCTCTTCTAGAAAATGTATAGAGCATAATTACTGACAGTGCATTCCCTCAGCATCTCAAGAGGGAAGAGAAAAATCTCCATTTTATAAACAGGAATACTAAGCCTCTCCCTGTCCCCCCTAGGCAGCTTATCCAAAGTCCTTCAGAGAATGAATGGCAAACGGAGCAGTGAAGCTGTTGCTTCTAGACACGAGCTCTAAAGCTCCTTCTTTTGTAGAGCTCTTGCCCCACTTTTAGTTAAAAGGAACCACCCCCCATACTTTTTTTTTTTTCTTTGCCTTTTGACACTTCCTAAATGGGCTGTTCAATCTATGTTCTGTGTTCTGTTCCTTGTAGGCCCCAGATGAGACCACCCTAAAGTTGCTGGCTGAGACCCTGCAACAGAAGAACATTGACCACATGCTGTGGCTGGAACAGCCAGAGAATATCGCCACTTGCATTGCGCTCCGTCCCTACCCCAAGGAAGAAGTGAACAAGTATTTGAAGAAGTTCCGATTGTTCACATGACTGTTAACAATTGCGTTGATATATTTGAATATCAGTTAGATCCAGAAACTGCATGCCGTCCATCCCTAAGCATCATATACTCCTTTCAATGGCAACTCGCTCTTCCCGTTAAATTATGACAGTTCCTTGAGGGTCAAACACATGTTTGTATTAAAATTGTCATTAATAAGTACTTCCTCTTATTTTTAATTATTAATAAGTTCAGATGGGAGAAGTAGGTGAGCAGCAATATTGTCTATGGGTCATTGCTCAAATAGAAGATTTGGTTAGACTCCTATACAGGGGTCAAGGAAACACCCTTCCTTTTTTGTTAGGAATAATAGAGTTCTTCTAATAACCCAGGTTAAAACTTTGCCTTTGAATTCCTTATTTCTTATTCACATCCAGATATTGTATTCACTGAATCTAGGACAACATCAACTTGCAGATACACCATTATTTTACATGTTGTTAAGAAATAAGAAATGCTGCCAATTAAGTTAAGACATGCAATTAATTGTGAGATGTATTTCTATTTCAAAGATGTTAAAATATATATTGGGGCCAGCCCGTGGTGTAGTGGTTAAGGTTGGCGTGCTCCGCTTCAGCAGCCTGGGTTTACTGGTTTGGATCCCAGGCGTAGACCTATAGCACTTACTGTGCTGTGGCAGTGACCCACGTACAAAACAGAGGAATACTGGCACAGATGTTCGCTCAGGGCAAATCACCCTCAAGCAAAAAAAGAGGAAGATTGGCAACAGATCTTAGCTCAGGGCAAATCTTCCTCAGCAAAACAAAATATGTGTGTGTATATATATATATATCTTTCTTTCTTTCTTTTTTAGATTTGATGAAATATGTCAAGTACTACATCTCTTTTCTTGTAGTTTCTGGTGCTCCCATCCCGTATCAGGCTCTTGTTTTGCTCATCAGTGTCCCATTGGTCTGCTTACCTCTAGTGTATCCTGGTTACAGTGCAGCAGGTGTTCTGCCACCAGGTTTGTATAGGATCATTGAGCACCCTCTTCAGTACCAGCTCTAAGTTGCCCATAGAACAAAGTCAGAACTCCTTAGCTTAGCCTTCAGGCCCTCCACATTCATGTTTCCTACCTATCTTTTTAGGTGAATTTTCTGTCTCTTTATCCAAACTTGATGTTTCAACGAAGACATTCCAGTTGCTGCCCTCTAGTCTCTGGCCTGCAGTCGAATGTTAATACTCTTCCTCTCCCTTTCCTGCCTCTGGCTTTACTTAAACTATTTCTGGCTCAAGCACTATTGCTTTCACAAAGTCTTAACCAACCAAAAATGACAGACGTTCTCTGAACATCTATAACACTCTGTACAATGTTTAAAATATGTCTATAAGCATGGAGACATCTACTGAAATTGCTTGGACATCTGTAAAGCAAAGTTATACTTTGTTCAACAGATATCTGTTACATGTCTACTGTGGCAGGCTGTACTAAGAGCTGAGGATATAAAGATGAATAAAACAACTTTTGCCTTCAGGTAGTTAAGAGTCTAGTGAAAAGACAGATATATAGATAATTAATACAGAGAGAAATGTACAAGGTAATATGGGTATACTTTTCCCCACACACACCCTAAGTACTAAGGCCACTAAGATACTAGATACAAAGATTTTCATTTATAAGAGATGGTCACCTGAAAGTAGGAAAGTGAATAGGGCCTCCCAGGAAGAACTGGTAGAGTGCTGAGAACAGAACCCAACCCCAGAAAGCTAAGTGAAGCCATAGAGTTTGAAGGGGGAGAGAGCAATCAA